AGAAAGCTGGGAAGCCTCTGCTGCATGTGGGACCTGCTTGGTCAAGAGACACCCATGGGGGGGAGGGTGAAGCGATCGTTATAACGAAAACCCCCGATCTGCCATGGACCAGCATCAGGAAGAAACCCTGGGGCCACCGATGACAGACAGGAAGGTCTTCGGCGAGGACCTCAGAGAAAGCTGGGAAGCCTCTGCTGCATGTGGGACCTGCTTGGTCAAGAGACACCCATGGGGGGGAGGGTGAAGCGATCGTTATAACGAAAACCCCCTAGGTTTAGAGGAGTGGAAAATGTCCATTTCTGCTCTTTCTCCCACCACCATCCTGCCCTCCCTAAGCCCTGAGCCTTTCTCCAGCAGTGGCGGCTCCCCCGGAGGCTCTGGCCCATGGTGTTCACCATATTCAGAAGGTGAGATCCTGTTTGGGGGACTCTTCTGTCTACTTCTTTGGGGAGTGGCAGAGGAAGACGCCCAGCGCCCCTCAAAGGGATCAGCGGCCTTGCAGTCTTGCTTCCTCCTGTTCTTACTACCTCGGTCCGGCCTTGGGCCATGGCTGAGCAAGGCTGTCGTGGGAGAGGCAGGCCAGCCTTATCACGAGCTTACCCCTTGGGCTCTCTTCTCAGGCTCCCACGGTGCCAACAACACAGGGAGATTACACACACGGAAACTAAACCCGTTGCTGTCCAGCTGAGTCTAACTTGCAGTGACCCCAGCAGTGTCAGACTAGAATTGTGCTCCACTGGGTCTTCAAGGCTCTGATCCTTTGCAGGATGATTGCCAGACCTTTCTTCTGAGGCACTGCTGGGTAGACTCCAACTGCCAAGCTTTGTGCTCTTGGGAAAGTGCATTAATCCCCCCTCCCCCCACTGAGGAACACCACAGGGAGGACCCCGTTTCTATAAAAACTGATAAGAATGAGCCTCACTAGCATCTCTCCAAATGTATCGACACACCATTCCTTCTGTCTCAAGTCTGGTGGGATCCCGAGCCCCTACTGAGAGTGATGGGGATGGGTGCTGATTTCCACCACCCGTCTCTGTTCACACACAGGCCCACGAGTCAGAGCCCTGAGGGAGAAGCTTGTGGCTGAGCCGACTCCACAATAGCTTAATTTCAGCACTTAATTGAACAAGCAGAGGACCAGGAGGAGAGGGCAAAGCCATTAGCATCATTCCACCTGCATATAAATTGAGAGTGTATCATGCATCGCTCAGGGAGGGGGCACTTGTGGAGGCTTGGTTGTGACTGGGCAGGGTGGCCATTACAGCAAGTCATAAACATTTAGCTTTCTTCTTTAAGGACGGCCGCTGGCAAAACTCTTTAGTGAACAGGGTAAGTGTTATTGGTGGGGTGCTTCTCTCTGCACACAGAGAGGGCTTGAAAGTCATTTTGTAGCATATATTGTTTGGAAGCAATCGTTTTAAAATTAGGTACTCGTTAGAATAGCGCATAGCAACATTAATCACCTTAGTCAGAGGGCCACTTCTGCTAAGTTCAGTGTCTAGGCTTGGGCTGAGCAGGTCTGGGGGCCCTCAGAAGATGCTGGCTGTGTGGTGGCGCTGCTGTATATCTGGAAGCTCTCACGGCCCCTCCCCACCCCCTCACCCTCCGGTGCCTTTTGCCAAGCTCGCTTTGGAACCTGAGTGTCTTTCCAGGGAAATGTAACCCATATGTCTCTGATTCACTTACACTCCATTTGTACAGAGAAGGGCCAGGAAGCACAACTTGACGTCGCGGTGCGTCTTTTTCTTAGAAGGAGGGGAAAGCTGGCCTTGCCAACTAGACGGAAGTGAAGCCTTGGGACTGTGCGTGTGTCTGAAAAGCAGCGTCACCCTCACCGGCAGCCCCCGGTGCCGGCTGGCTTCTGTGGGGCCCGGGCGCAGGCGGGCGTTTCGTGGTTCTGCTGCCAGCTCGTTCGGTGGGCTGTCAGATGGCTGCTTGGCTGAGGAGGCCAAGGACAGTTGGGAACTGCAAGCTGCCCGCCTGCCTGGGGGCAAAGCTGCTCACCCCACTCAAGGGGAGGCCGAGGCTCCATGCCGGGACACGCTGGCGAGACTCACATTCCCCCGGCACAGCAGCTGAGGGGGCACGCAGTCAGTGCACGGCTCCAGGCTTCCAGAGGAGGTGAGGAACGTGGAGAGTTCCTTGAGTCTAGAGCTTAGAGCAGTGGTTCTCCACCTTCCTAGTGCCACAGAGACCCTTTCATACAGTTCCTCATGCTGTGGTGACCCCCTGCCATTAAATTATTTTTGTTGCTACTTCATAACTGTAATTTTGCTACGGTTATGAATCAGGCGACCCCTGTGAAAGGGCCGTTCGATCCACAGGTTGAGAACCGCTAGCTTAGAGAGACCTTTTGCATACTGATGATCAGAACAGGGTATCTGGTGTCATTCCAAAGCTCCGGCAACGATACCCCTTTCTCGAGCAGCATGGTGCTTTCTACAGGGAGCAGGGAAAAGATGCTGACTGCCATGTGTATTTTTTCATTAAAAAAATTACTCTGCTGAGGAACAAGATGAAGACATAGACTACCCAAGGCAATCCCACCTTTAAAGTAAGAAAGCCAAGTACTTTCTTTGCACTGACAGATACGGGGTGACTGATTGCTGCACAGAATGCTGAGCCGTCGTGAAATGAGAACCGGGTGGCTTCAGGCTAATGCAATCATGAAAGGTTTGGACCCACAACCACAGGAAAGGAAAGGATGACACGTCAGGCCTTGGAACAAAGCCGGCTCTCACCATCACCATTTGCCTGGGTTGCAGCAAGGATCTCCCAACCAGTCTCCCTGCTTTGGGCTTTATAGCACCTTGTCATTTGTACAGTCTGCTCTCAGGGCAGCAATTCAGTCCTTCTAAACCTTAAAGGAGCGCATGTCGCTCCTCGGCCCCAAACTCTCCACTGGTCCTGGCTTGCCCCCTTCCCAGTAAATGCACAAGTCCCTACAAAGGCTGAGGGGTCCTCTCTGACCGGCTGCCCAATGCCTTGTCATCACTCTGCCTTGGCGCCTGCCACTCTCCCCTGGCCAACTCCACCTTCTGCTTCTTGAACAGAAATGTTTGTTAAGAAATCCCAAACTTCTCAATTCATTGTTTTAATGAAAATCTCCTATCTTTCATATGTTTGGTTTAAGGGAATAGGATACAACTAAAACGACTAGTCCTTAGACTAGAATTGCTAGTAGAAGCTTCCATCTGGGCTCTTGGTCCTTGCTTTCATGGAAACCTCAGTAGTAAGTGACCTTTCATTTACCTGTTTTAGAAAAAGGTGAGCTTGAGTGGAGTATGGTTGGTAGCATGTTGTCACCAGCCCAACCTTAGCCCTGGGACTGGGTTATGCTAGTTGACTAAGCACACCTTGCTAAGCTGTTTGCCACACAACAGGTATTTGGAAGAATGGGGGGAGTTTGACAGGTGAGGATGTGTTTCTAGGAGGAGGCTCCAGAGGCTGGCTGGGCATCGAGAGCCTCCTTGTTCTTGAGTGTAGGTGGACCGGGGAGTGGGGATACTAGGATCATTTACCCCTGATGTCTGGGCTGCCCACCAACCCCACCAGCCTCTTGGCCCACCAAGCCTCACCTGCTTTGTCTATCCAGGCACGGTAGCCATTCAGTTCTCGCTCAATCTGCTGCTGGCGCCGTAGCTTCATGAATGCTCTTCGGTTCTCCACCCTCTCTCTCTCTTTGGCAAATTCCCTGTGGACAGAAAGTATACGATTTGCTGGGTTTGAGCGGCGCCATGACCAAGAGAAATGGTGTCAAAGAGGTGAGCCAGAGAGAGAGAGTTTGAGCAGGTACTGATGTGCGCATTCCACTTCCCTTTGACTTTGTCTCAGCACAATGATGAACTGAAAATGCTGCCAGAAAACTGCTTGCTTTAGGAGCAGCGAGTTTCCGTTAAAGGTGATAAGAAAATTTGGAAATGGATCATGTTGATGGTTATGGATGCACTTCAGGTGGTAAATGTTAATTAAAGTCAATGAATTGTACATATAAAAAAGGCTGAAATGTAGAGTTCCATGTACACATATTTATATATTAAGTATTAAGATGGCAGACGAACTTTGGGTCTCTACTCAAAGAACATTTTGTTCTGATAACCTGGAACTCCTTGATGCTCACCTTCCCAACACAATTGATGAAGCCAAAGTAGGTGCATAAGCAAATGTGGTGAAGGAAGCAGAGCGTGCCTGGTTATCAAAAGAGTGTCGAGGGTCTTAAAGGCTTGACGTTAAACAAGAGGCCATCTAACAGGGAAGCAAATAAGCCCACATGGAAGAAGCACACCAGCCTGTGTAATCATGAGGTTTCAGCAGGATCAGGTATCAAAAGATCCAAAACAATTATATCAATATGAAAGAAGGGATAGGAGTGGAGACCCAAAGCCCATCTGTAGACATTTGGACATCCCCCCACAGAAGGGTCACAAGGAAGAGACGAGTCAGCCAGGATGCAGTATAGCACCGATGAAACACACCTCATTCCTCTAGTTCCTGAATGCTTCCTCCCCCCACTACCAGACCCAGTTCTACCTTACAAATCCAACTAGATCAGAGTACACACATTGGTACAGATAAGCGCTCTTGACACATGGAATTCAGGACAGATAAAACCCTCAGGAACAGTAGTGGGAGTAACAATATCATGAGGGTAAGGGGATGGACTGGGGGGGAGGGGGTGGAGAAAGGGGGAACCGATTGCAATGATGATGTATAACGCCGAATAACAGAAATGTGGGTGAAGGGAGACAACGGATGGTGAGGGGAAGGAGCTGCTACCAAAGGCTCAAATAGAAAGAAAATGTTTTGGGAATGTTGATGGCAACAGATGCACAAGTGTGCTTAATACAATTGAATGATGAATTGTTATAAGATTTGTAAGAGCTCCCCCCCCCCAAGAAAGCAATTAATAATAAAAAAGTGAAAAAATGGCTGAAATGGCCAATGTTTTTGTTGCATCTATATCACCCAACGTGTCTTGTTATGTTTTCCAGCTAAACTGTGCGGAAATCCAGAAAGGTTTGAAGATGAGGTCAGACTTGGCACAAAACCTTGAAAAGGGAGTGAAATTGAGACTGGCCACGAGCAAAGGAACGCAGTCATCCTGTGGGGGGACCCCTATTATCAACCCCTCCATTTTCCACTCTGGAAAGCGGCATCGAAGAGGGGGTCAGCAGCCTCTGAGAAGACGAGGAAGCAGGTAATGAGCGAAGCTGTCACGCTTGGATCGTCTACATTCCATCTTCTTTCTACTCTCTTACCAGCCTCCCCCTCAACCTGCCCCAGCCCCTGCTGCCACCACACCAACCCTGAGCAGGGCCCTCAAGTCTTTCAGTGTCTGACCCCAGCCTTTCTTTTCAAACCACGCCTCCCACCATCCCTCTCCGCCCTCTGCCTGTAGCCCGAAGCAGCCCACGCATCAACCACAGCTTGTTTCTTATTGTTCCTAAACATGCCACGTGGGCGTGGAATGCCCATCCACACAGCTTCTCTGCCTGGGATCCCTCTCATTTGCTCAAGTCTGTAAACATGCTTCATCAAGGCCACGTTGGAAGGTTGCCTACCAACCCCTGTCCCGAGTCTCCTGGCTCCCATTACACCTGTCTGCTGGCTCTTCAGAGCTCCTCCTGGATCAATTCTCCTGTGGTGGGTGGGGCATGCGACTGTCCTCTCTGTGGGAGTTCTTCCAGACACTAGCCTGTGTCATGTTGTTGTCGTCAGGTGCCGTCAAGTCCGTTCTGTCTCATAGTGACCCTGTGTACAACGGAACGAAACACTGCCCGGCCCTGTTCTATCCTCCCACTGGTTCTGCGTTTGAGCCCATCACTGCAGTCACTGTAGGAATCCATCTTGTGGAGGACCTTCCTATTTTTTGCTGTCTCACTACTTTACCAAGCATGATGCTCTTCTCCAGGGAGTGGTCTCTCCTGATAACTTGTCCAAAGCATGTGAGATGAAGTCTCACCATCTCTGCCTCTAGGGATCCTGTGTCTTTCTCATTGTGAATCCTTCCAGTCTCCCCTGGGACGACTGTCTAGATTATCTGCAGGCTCAAAACCAACTAACCCAATGGCTGTGGACTCCGTTCTGACCCACAGCAGCCCTGAAGGGCAGAGGAAAACCGCTCTCCAGGATTCCCAAGGAATGATACATGGAATGATACATGCTCATCTTTTCCCCTTGGAGCAGCTTATGCCATCAGGCTCCATATATGTTCAACACACAGATACATATATGTCATTTAATGTCCAGTCTGATGAGGTGCACACACTGCTAGCTCTGTTCTGGTTCCGAAGGATTAAATGACAGAGTGTTCCAGTCCTGTATTGACCCAAAAGGAGCCCGATGAACTGAGCTGGAATGCATGATTCCCAGGCAGCTCTGGACACTACCACCACAATTCCTCCCTGCCTGCTGCTATTGCTAGATGGGTCAAGTTGATCCCCGGAGACCCTGGAGGAGAGAACAGAACTATCCAACACTGTTCTTGATTGTCACCTTGATGAACAGAGCCCTGGGCCCTGGTGGTAATGGATGGGGGCCACGTCGATAACTAAATGCTCAGTCGTGTAAACCCGTCAGCTCCTCTGTAGGAGAAGGATGTGGTAGTTGGCCTCATGTAAAGATTACAGCTGAGGAATCCCTATGGGGCAATTCTTCTTGGTCATACAGGCTTGCTATCAGGTGAAGTCTATCTTTAACTCTATGGATGTTATTGTTGTTGGTAGATGCCCTCAAGGTGGCTCTGAAGCATAGCAAAGTTAGATAAAATGGAGCAAAGTACTGTCTGATCCCGTGCCATCCTCATCAGCATGAATTCTTTGCTGCAGCCTCTGTGTCCACTCATATCACCGAGGTTCTTCCTCATTTTTGCTGGCCTTCTACTCTATCAAGTAGGACATCCTTCTCCTGGGACTGGTGTCTCCTGATAAAGTACATCAGACAAAGTCTTGCCATCCTCGATTCTAAGGAGTATTCTGGCTGTACTTATTCCGAGACAGAATTGTTTGTTCTTCTGGCAGTCCATGGTACATTCAATATTGTTTGCCAACACCATAATCCTAATGCATCCATTCTTCTTTGGTTTTCTTTATTTGTTGTCTGATTTTCATATGAGGTGATCAAATATACTACGGCTGTGGCCACCTTAGTCCTCAAAATGCCATCCTTGCTCTTTAATACTTTCAAGAGATCTTGTGTGGTAAATCTGCCCAATGCAATATGTTGCTTGATGTCTTGACTATAGCTTTCATAATCGTTGATTGTGGTATAATGAAAATGAAGTCCTTTGCAACTTCAATCTTTTCTCTATTTGCCATGATGTTGTCCATTGGTGCCGTTGTTTATTGGTTCATGCTGCTCTGTGGCAAGCAACAATAATCTTGCTAGGTGCTTACCATCAGATCTTTTCTTCCGTAGAGCTATTGATGGGTTCGAACAGCTGACCTTTTGGTTAGCACATGAGCACTTAACCACTGTGCCACAGCCTTGGTACAAGTGAAAGAACATTTCCCTGGGGTGGGCTCCTATTGTTTAAGCAGACTGTGTGGGAAGGCCCCTTCCTTCTCCTTTTGGTTGGCCTAGATCTCCTATCAGACTCAAGGACTCACCATATTGCCTGTCAACCCTGGGAAGTACCATGGCAACTGTGGATTCATTGGAACCTGCAACATGAACCTGACTTGTTGACTTTCATCCCCTCTGCCTCCACCAGCCTGTGGTCTCTCTGTTTCCTGGTTCATCTTTCTGCTTCTTGATTCATCAGCCCTGGCTACCTCACGATTGTGAACATTTGACCCACGAACTTGAACTAGACTGGACTTGACTGATTCAACTGTGTGAACTACTTTCTTGATATATATTTTTCTTTTCTTTTCTCACTGGGTTTGCGTCTCTAAATAACCTAGCCTAACCCACGAAGTAACCAGCTCCCTGTCAGTGTTTCTCCATACACAGATGTGAGACAACTCAAGAAAGGCTAAATCTAGACCGCAGAATTCCCAACTGGAGGGACAAGAAGAACTGCACACGGATGAGGTGGAAATCCTACTTGGTCTGTTCCGAAAGCTAGCGATCCCTCTTCTGCTAATAATTTGGGCAATTCTGTCTCAGTTTCATCATCAGTGAACATTCATGGTAGGTCATTGTTAGCTGCTGTGGCATTAACATCAGACTCACTACAATTCCATGCCCAGTGGAATGAAATGCTGTCCAGTCCTGCACCACCTATCCCCACCATCAGTTAACAGATCAGCAGAAGTGTTGCGATCCATATGGTTTGCTGTGGTTGATGTTTGGAAGTGGAGTACCAAGCCTTTCACCCTAGACCATCTTAGCCTGGGAGCTCTGCTGAAACCTGTTCGGCATCATAGCAACACGTAAGCCTGCAATGATGGATAGATGGTGGCTAGACATGCTATGCACTGGTCACGAATCAAACCTAGGTTCCCTGCATGGAAGGCAAGAACTGAACCGTGGAACCCAAACCAAAGTAAAACCCCATTTGGCTTAGTCTGAGAGTCCCAACTAGACTTCCTGTAAGAGATTGTGCAATGATAAAAACTCAAATTGTGTCCCATTGCTGACATTTATTCTAGCTCAATACTGTCATCTACAATGTTATTGTAGGTCTTCCCCTCCCCCACCTCCCCCTGAGAGAATACCCTGCAGTTTCCCTCACACACGTGACAGAAAGGT